TCCAGAGAGCACTGTGGACTCAAAAAATAACGGATCTGGACCAAACTTGGCACGAATACTCATAATGCCCAAATGTGAACACTGGTGGAGTTTGAGGAAAATAGACTTGACATTTGGGGGTTGTGGTTGCTCGGGTTTATAGTTCACCAATCATCAAAGAACATTCTGAACCCCACCAGCAACAGAATTGGGCTAAACACAGAACCCGCATGACCAACAGAAAATACGATGTTTTCTGATGGTCTTTGGCGACCCCCAGCTGACATCCCTTCACGACCTGACCCCCAGGCTGAGAAACGCTGTTCTATAAGCTAGCTGGCACTGCCGTCCACCCTCTGATGTACAACAGGAAGTTTCTGCCAACTGCATGAGAAATAAGGTTGAACACTGTGAAAGCCACCCAGTAGATTCAAATCAAGGGAAAGCTGCATGAGAACCACCACTCATCTACATGTTCCTCCAGTAACAGCAAGAGCATCTCTCTGGGCAACTAAACCAGGAAATTCTAACAGAATGGCTCCCCGCAAGGGTCTTCCTCCAGGGGCAACTGAGCAACTTGGAAGTCCCTGAAGAGACTCTAAAGTGGAGTGGGCAGCTCAAAAGACAGCTTGGCAAATTGGCACTACCACAGTGGTTCTCAACATGTGGGTCCCCAGGTATTTTGGCCTACAACTCCCAGAAATCCCAGCCAAGTTACCAGTTATTAGGATTTTGGGGAGTTGGGGACCCACAGGTTGAGAACCACTGACCTAAAAGAATCCTCCACTTTGTGCAGCCGTGGAGCAGAACAAACAACTCAGCATCTGTATGCTTGACCCACAATGCCCTGAACTGTTTAAAGCAGGGTCCTCAAACTTTTTAGACAGAGGGCCAGGCCACAGTCCCTCAAACTGTTGGAGGGCCAGATTATAATTTGAAAAAAGCATGAATGAATTCCCATGCACATTACACATATCTTATTTGTAGTGCAAAAAACACAAACAATACAATTTTAACAAATATAACCTTATTAGTATTTCAATGGGAAGTGTGGGCCTGCTCTTGGGTGATGGGATAGAGTTGTTGTGTGCTTTCAAGTCATTTCAGACTTAGGCTGACCTTGAGTGAGGGCCAGATAAATAACCTTGGAAGGCCGTATCCAGCCCTCGGGCCTTAGTTTGAGGACCCCTGGTTTAAAGCTACAGACAATGCAGTTGCTGTTGCCTATCTTTGGTCTAAATCTATTTAGCTGCTTGTGCTCCCAAACTTACCTATTTATGCAATGCTTTTGCCTCATGTACAGAGGAAGAACTGTTTAAAGCTACAGACAATACAGTTGTTGTTGCCCATCTTTGGTCTAAATCTATTTAGTTGCTTGCACTCCCAAACTTATCTATTTATGCAATGCTTTGGACATGAAATAAATAAATATAGAGTCCAATGACGCAGCTTCTTCTCTTTGCTCCTGTTCCATGGTTTCTTGTTTTTATCTGATGTTTTAATTGTAATGTTTGATTGCTGTGTTTTAATTGTAATTTTTGGGCTTGTCCTTGTAAGCCCCCCCCCCGAGTCCCTGGGGAGATGTTGGCGGGGTATAAAAATAAAGTTATTATTATTATTATTAATACAAAAAGACGAGTCCACACAGACACTCTGCTGGCTGTTGTATTGGATCACACGTCGGACACTTCCCAAGTGTCTAGGACTGTGTGATGTATCGTGCATATATGCATGCAGATCCCAGTAAGGTGGCCTTCTGCAGCTGGCAGATGGTAATTTTGTCAGTGCCGATTGTGTTTAAGTGCAGGCCAAGGTCTTTAGGCACTGCACCCAGTGTGCCAATCACCACTGGGACCACCTTTACTGGCTTGTGCCAGAGTCTTTGCAGTTCGATCTTTAAATCCTCATATCGTGTCAGTTTTTCCAGTTGTTTCTCTTCAATCCTGCTGTCACCTGGGATTGCAACAACGACGATCCATACTTTGTTTTTTAACATTTGTGAGGTTAGGAGTATTGTGCTCCAAAACTCTGTCTGTCTGAATTCGGAAGTCCCAGAGTAGTTTGACTTGTTCATTTTCTGTAACTTTTTCCAGCTTGTGATCCCACCAGTTCTTTCTCGCAGGCAGATGGTATTTGTGGCACAAGTTCCAATGAATCATCTGAGCAACTGTGCTATTATTATTATTATTATTATTATTATTATTATTATTATTATTATTATTATTATTATTTCCCTGGAATGCTACAATGGCAGAACTCCATCTTCATAGTTACATTTGATAATTCAGAATTTCAGCCAAACATTAGACAAAAGGTTTTTTTAGATTTTTCTGGAGGTAACTTTCCTAGAGGGAAGTTACTTTCATGTCCTGTCCAAAAATCGACGATCCATACTTTGTTTTTTAACACAATTGTGAGGTCAGGAGTATTGTGCTCCAAAACTCTGTCTTCTTGTTGTTGTTGTTGTTGTTGTTGTTGTTATTATTATTATTATTATTATTATTATTCGGCAGGGCTTGGATAAGTGGTTCTCAACCTATGGGTCCCCAGATGTTTTGACTTTCAACTCCCAGAAATTCCGACAGCTGGCAAACTGGCCGGGATTTCTGGGAGTTGTAGGCCAAAACACCTGGGGACCCACAGGTTGAGAACCACTGGATTAGATGAAGCAGTAGTAGACACCTCAGTTAAACTACTAAGCTGCTGACCCTGCTGACTAAAAGGTTTGTAGTTCGAATCCGGGGAGCGGGCTGAGCTCCCGCTGTTAGCCCCAGCTTCTGCCAACCTAGCAGTTTGAAAACATGCAAAAGTGAGTAGATCAATAGGTACCGCTTCTGTGGGAAGGTAACGGTGCTGGATGCAATCATGCTGGCCACATTACCTTGGAGGTGTCTATGGACAATGCCGGCTCTTCAGCTTAGAAATGGAAATGAGCACTACTCCCTAGAGTCGGATTCGACTAGTGTCAAGGGGAAACCTTTACCTTTACTAAACCAACTCGGTCGCTTTCACTATGTCAGCAATTTGGGGAGATAGTGGTGGGGTATAAATAAAGTTTATTATTATTATTATTATTAAATGGGTAGAAAGGTGGGTAATGACAGTGCGACTAATCAAAATTGGGTGGAGGTAGTGCTTGTAGTTCTGGAGGGACTCTAATTTTTGCTTCTCATATATTTGGGATTGGGTTGACCTGAAACATTTTGGGGTTGGTTTGAACCCCTAAACCGCCCCTTTGGCTACGGCAGGGTTTCTCAACCTGGGGGTTGGGACCCCTCGGGGGGGGTCGCGAGGGTTCAGAATGCTCTTTGATTGTAGGTGAACTATAAATCCCAGTAACTACAACTACCAAATGCCAAGGTCTATTCCCCCCAAACTCCACCTGTGTTCATATTTGGGCATATGGAGTATTTGTGTCAAGTTTGGTCCAGATTCATCATTGTTTGAGTCCACAGTGGTCTCTGGATGTAGGTGAACTACAACTCCAAAACTCAAGGTCAATGCCCACCAAACCCTTCCAGTGTGTTCTGTTGGTCATGGAAGTCCTGTATGCCATGTTTGGATGAATTCCATCATTGGTAGAATTCAGAATGCTCTTTGATTGTAGGTGAACTATAAATCCCAGTAACTACAACTACCAAATGTCAAGGTCTATTCCCCCCCCCCCCCAAAACTCCACCTGTGTACATATTTGAGCATATGGCATATTTGTGCCAAGTTTGGTCCGGATCCATCATTGTTTGAGTCCACAGTGGTCTCTGGATGTAGGTGAACTACAACTCCTACAAGGTCAATGCCCGCCAAACCCTTCTAGTCTTTTCTGTTGGTCATGGGAGTCCTGTGTGTCACCTTTGGTTCAATTCCATCATTGGTGTTCAGAATACTCTGTGATTGTAGGTGAACTATAATTCCCAGCAACTACAACTACCAAATGTCAAGGTCTATTTCCCTTAAACTCCATCTGTGTTCATATTTGGTCATATGAAATATTTGTGCCAAGTTTGGTCCAGATCCATCATTGTTTGAGTCCACAGTGCTCTCTGGATGTAGGTGAACTACAACACCCAAACTCAAGGTCAATGCCCACCTAACCCTTCCAGTATTTTCTGTTGGTCATGGAAGTCCTGTATGCCATGTTTAGATGAATTCCATCATTGGTGGAATTCAGAATGCTCTTTTGATTGTAGGTGAATTATAAATCCCAGCAACTACAACTCCCAAATGACAAAATCATAATTTTTGAGTGATGGTCACTCCTTGTGTTGTGAGACGTTTTGTAGCCAAATTTGGTGTGATTTTGTTCATTGGTTCTTTTGTTTTTAAGGTACTCATTATGCAAAGAGCATTTATATATATATATAGATTTGTGCCAAGTTTGGTCCAGCTCCATCATTGTTTGAGTCCACAGTGGTCTCTGGATGTAAGTGAACTACAACTCCCAAACTCAAGGTCAATGCCCACCAAACCCTTCTAGTCTTTTCTGTTGGTCATGGGAGCCCTGTGTACTAAGTTTGGCCCAATTCCATCATTGGTGGGGTTCAGAATGCTCTTTGATTGTAGGTGAACTATAAATCCCAGCAACTACAACTCCCAAATGACAAAATCAATTTTTTCGAGTGAAGGACATACATTGGGTTGTTAGGTGTCTTGTGTCCAAATTTGGTGTCAATTCGTGCAGTGGTTCTTGAGTTCTGTTAATCCCACAAACAAGCATTACATTTTTATTTATATAGAAGATTGGGTTGACTTGCAACTTTTGGGGGTTGGTTTGAACCCCTCACCCGCCCCCTTGGCTACAGGCTTGCACCAGAGTGCATAGCGAGGAGGGAGGCCCAGTGGCTCGCGCGCCCGCCTCCCACTCACCTTCCTCTTCCTCCCACGGCCTCCACGCGGGACTCGGCCGGCTGCTTTCCAGCGACGGGCCCTCCTCTTCCGGGACCGGCCTTCAAGGAAGGAAGGAAAGGCAGGGAAGGAAGGAAGGAAGGAGGGAGGGCCTAAGAAGAGCGCCGGGGCCTGGAGGCGGCCTCCGCGTGTGTTGACAACATGGCCGCGGCCCGGCGGGCTCAGGCGCTGCGCCTCTATCGGGCCCTCCTGCGGGAGAGCCAGGCCTTCGCCGCCTACGGGTACAGGTAGGACGAGGACGAGGAGGAGAGGCCCCGTCCCCACGCCCAGAAAGGCCTCCCTGTCCACAGGGTTTCCTTCTTCCCTTATAGGCACCAGTGAATGTAGAAAGTATGCTTCCTATCCTCATGTTATCCTCAGAAATCAACTGATCGGGGAGGTAAAACTTCAAGAGCTAATACAGTTATTATTATTATTATTATTATTATTATTATGAGCTAAGGACCCTTCGCCTGGAAGTGTCTTCTTCATGGTGGTGTCCTTGTAATTATTATTAACTAATACCACCATGATCAATAATAACAACAATATAATTAATAATAATAATAACATGATCAATAATAATAACACAATAATTAATAATAATAATAATACCTTGATCAATAATAATAATAACAATGTTAAAATCGTGTTGCATAGTGCATGCTATCATTATTCATACCACTATGTTGTTGTTGTTGTTCATTCGTTCAGTCGTCTCTGACTCTTCGTGACCTCATGGACCAGCCCACGCCAGAGCTCCCTGTCGGCCGTTACCACCCCCAGCTCCCTCAAGGTCAGTCCAGTCACTTCAAGGATGCCATCCATCCATCCATCCACTATGTTAAGTAGTAATAATAGCACAATAATTAATAACACCGCCATGCTTAATAGCAGTAATACCATAATTAATAATAACACCATGATTATTAACAGTAACACCATAATTAATAATAATACCTCTATATTATTAAAATCGTGTCATATAGTATATGGTATTATTATTATTATTCATACCACTATGATAAGTAGTGGCACAGTGGGTTAAAGCGCTGAGCTGCTGAGCTTGTTGACCGAAAGGTCTCAGAATGGCGTGAGCTTCCATGGTCAGCCCTAGCTTCTGCCAATCTAGCAGTTCAAAAACATGCAAATGTGAGTAGATCAATAGGTACCGCAAGGAGCCCCCGGTGGTGCAGTGGGTTAAACCCCTGTGCCGACAGGACTGAAGACTGACAGGTCGCAGGTTTGAATCTGGGGATAGGCGGATGAGCTCCCTCTATCAGCTCCAGCTTCTCATGCAGGGACATGAGAGAAGCCTCCCACAAGGATGATAAAAACGTCAAATCATCCGGGCGTCCCCTGGGCAATGTCCTTGCAAACGGCCAATTCTCTCACACCAGAAGCGACTTGCAGTTTCTCAAGTCGCTCCTGACACGACAAAAAAAAAAAAGATACCGCTCCGGCAGGGAGGTAACGGTGCTCCATGCAGTCATGCCAGCCACATGACCATGACAATGCCGGCTCTTCGGCTTAGAAATGGAGATGAGCACCACACCTCATCTTTAATAATAATACCACCATAATATTAAAATTGTGCCACATAGTGTATGGTATTATTATTATTATTTATTATGATAACAATAATAACATTAATAATAATACCACTGTAATATTAAAATCGTGTTACATAATGTATGGTATTATTCATGCCACCATGATCAATAATAACAATAATAAGAATAGCACTATAACTAATAATAACACCACCATGATATGAAAATCGTTTTACATAGTGTATGGTATTATTGTTATTATTATTCATACCACCGTGATCAATAATAACACAATAACTAATAATAATACTGCTGCCATCATTAATAATAACACCACCAGAATTAATATTAATATTAAATTGTGTTACATAGTGTATGATATTATTATTCATACCACTGTGATCACTAGTAATAATAACACCAGAATGTATAATACCACAATGATTAATAGCAGTAATACCATAATTAATAATAGTAACACCATAATGAATAATAATACCATGGTTAATAACAAGAATAACACCATAATTAATAATTATATCACCAAGATTAATAATAATAACACCATACACTATGTAACACAATATTATTGTTTATAGTGTTCTTATTATGGTGTTATTGTTATTATCATGGTGGTATTATTATACACTATTACATAGTATATGGCATTATGAATCACAATATTTATTTATTGGAGTCAATTTTTACCCCGCTTTTCTCCCACACCAAGGCGAGACTCAAAGCAGCTAACAATACAATAAGAACATACAAAGTAAAGATTAAAACAGATTCAAGCCAATAAATTCCTTATAGCAACCTGATTGAGTCTCAACCAATTCAGCAGTTTGTGGCAGCTACAAAAATGATGTTTCTGAAATATAACAACTTTCAAAGTAAATATTGCAAAATTTAACAGGAAATGGTACTTTCAAACCAGGAACAGAATCTTTTTCAAATTGTATGACATAGTGATAATACCACCATGATGAATATGACACCACCATAATTTATCATAATAATATGAACACAATGATAATAATGCTATAATAATACCACAATGATAGATGATAATAAAATACTATTATTAATATTAGCAATGTCAGGCTCTGCATCTCGTAGTGCCAGAACGCTGTCTGTTCAGTGCCTTCCAAGTTGCCCAGTCTTCTCTGTGCCCAGGAGGGAGTCTCTCATTTGGTATCAGCCATAGATTGAGGTTCCAGGTTTTAGCCTGCCATTTTTGGATTATCATTTGTGGAGGCATTCCTGCAAGTATCTTTGTAGATCTTAGAAAACTATTTCTTGATTTAAGGCGTTGATGTGCTGGCTGATATCCGAACAGAGAATGGGCCAGAGATGTCTCTGCCTTGGTCCTTTCATTATTGGCTGCTACTTCCTGGTGGATGTCAGGTGGTGCAAAACCAGCTAGCAGTATACTTCCTCCAGTGATGTGGGGCATGACATTATTACATTATTACATTATCCTGTGATAATGTGCATGTGTCATTAAGGGCCAAATCCATTATTTTAACTGTGAAATGTGTTCTACACTGGACATGCATATTCAGCAACAGAATAGCAAAGCTCAAGGGCAGATGTCTTCACTGTGTCTGGTTGTGATCCCCAAGTTGTTTCAGTCAGCTTTCGTATGATATTATTTCTACCACCCACTTTTTGCTTGATATTCAAGTAGTGCTTCTTATAAGTCAGAGCACGGTCCAGGATAACTTCCAGGTATTTTGATGTTGCGTCCTTGGGAATGTTTCCTTCATAATGGTAATAGTATTAATAGTTTTTAAAAAGTTCTGGTAAAACAAAACTGCAGAGGGATGCAACTAGTTTGGCGACAAATAAATAGGGATGTTATTGATGCAATTGCTGCTTGACCAGATTTGGAGAAGCAAAAGGGTTTTTTTGTTTGTTTGTTATTCTTTTTGAAGGCAAAGGCAGCAACAATTTTGTTTTCTTTTGTCTTTACATTTCTGGAATTGCTCTTCAAAGGGGGAGGGGAAACCAGGCATGACCCCTTTCAAACAACCTATGCTATTCAATCCTAAAGAGTCTAAATGGTTTCAGAAACTTGCACTGTGAAATGCAGGACAGAAAAGACTGGAGGTGCATGTCTGGGATAAAAATAACATAATAATGTATTGCCAGTGTGATTTGACTTTTGGGCCCTAACTCTGGAAGCCAGGGAATCCCTATTTGGCCATAAGAAATACACTGGGAAGCCTTGGGCAAGTCATACTCTCTCAGCCTCAGAGGGAGGCAAAGGCAAACCTCATCTGAACAAATCTCACTATGAGTTCAGGATTATTTTATTAATACTATGCATTTTAAACTCACATCTTGTGTTCACTATATATTAATCTTTTTTCTGTGTATTTCAGTACATGTATTGTAGAAATACATTTTAATATGTGGGTATTATGTGTTTTGAGCTATGTTGTAACCTGCCATCATCAATAATAATAATAATAATAATATTTCCAGAATCTTAGGGATACTATACATTGGAAGCAACTTGAAGTCTCACAACAGCAACTGACTCTTAATACACTTGAGTCCTGGCTGGAAAGATTGAGATGTTCACTCAAAACAGAAAAAAAATATGCATTCGGACCTCTAGCCTTTAAACTTGCTTGCTGGTTTACAGGACAGACCCTCATTGCTCTTATTGGATTCACATTCATTAGACTTTTGTGTGGAAAACAGAATCGGGTGCATTTTATTTTTTGCATCAGGCCATAAAATATCTCAAGCCAGCCTTGAGTTCTGGAGTATTTCCAGAATGATGACACTCCCAAGAATAAGGCAAGACGTGAGTAACCTTTCTTGTCAACCTGAATGTCAAAGATGATGACATCTGAATCGCCTGTAAAATTCCATTAACAAACAAAGCCACTGCATAGTTGAAACCTCATCTGGCAGCATCCCTGCCTATGTCGTAGGGTAACAAGGTGCTGATTTGTTGTTGCTGTGTTATTTCAAGTCATTTCCGACTTATGGTGACCCCATAGTGGGGTTTTCTTGGTACAATTTGCTTAAAGGGGATTTGCCTTTGGGCGAATCAGACTCGCTCAGTGGCTGAATGAGTCCGATTTACTGAAGGTCACCAAGTGGGATTCTATGGCTGAGCAGGTACTCGAACCCAGCATCTTAGTCCAACACCCAGACTACTACATGAAATTGATCCATTGGGTATTTTCTATTTGACACCCAGTAATAGGATGAAGGCCCCATGCTAAATTAAACTCTTCATTGTATGTTAAGAAGTTATGGTTCAAGTTATATTCCACAAAACAAGGACATTTTCAATGACCTCTCTTTTAGGTTGACTTCCTTCCGAAGTATTTATTTATTTTATTATTTATTTCGCGCACTTCTACCCCGCCCTTCTCAACCGCTGAGGGGGGACTCAGGGCGGCTTACAAAAGGCACAATTCGATGCCGACACAAACAATAAGATAAAAATAAACATATATAAACAGTAATTAAAAACAATTAAAACAGTCACTTATATATATCATAATCAATAAAAACCAAACTAGTGCTCAACGTTTGTCAGCTCAGAGTCCATAAATTCATTCCACATTGTCAAATCCATCACTTCTAGTCGTCGCTTGTCCTTTGTCTATCTGCCAGATTACCCAAAAGCGTGGTCCCATATCCATGTTTTTAATTTCCTTCTAAAAGAGAGGAGGGATGTCGATGACCTAATTTCCCCGGGGAGTGAATTCCACAGGTGAGGGGCCACCACCGAGAAGGCCCTGCTCCTCGTCCCCACCAACCTCACTTGTGATAGAGGTGGGGCCGAGAGCAGGGCCTCCCCAGAAGATCTTAAACTCCGAGGCGGGACGTAGCGGGAGATACGTTCGGACAGATACACTGGGCCGGAACCGTATAGGGTTTTGTAGATCAAAACCAGCACTTTGAATTGTGCTCGAGACTGGATCGGCAGGTACTATGAAGTAGCTACTATGTCTCTGTAGTGTTGCCCCTGGGGGGAAAAAACTTTTAAGTGGTACTTAGGTATATATAAAACTTCCCAGGTGGGATCCAGCTCACACATCAAGAAAGAAATCCCTCTTTACCCTCTTTATCAGTGACCAAGTGACATCTGAGACAGAATTTAACCATGTGGCTCTAACATTGCCACCCCACCCCCCCCGTATGATTTTAAATATCTTTGCCTGATGAAGTGTCCAGTGAAACTGCAAAAACCTGCATGTTGCTTTGCCGATAATGATATTGCACTTTTGTGGATTTTGTATATTGTTGCCTTTTGCTATATAGCCAACAGAGCTACTTTTGATTATGTTCTAAAAACTGGAGTGTAGCCCTTGTATGTATTTTAAACAGAGGTTTACAAGAAGGGTTCATTAAAGTGCCTATCTTTGGTAGCATGGTAGTCTGTGATCTAGATTTCTTTAATTTTAAAGTATAACTCCATCAGAACTCTTCACATTAAACTAAAGGGAACCCCCATCCCCCCTATTTTAGGAATTTCCTTTTTTTCCTTTTTGTTTTTTAAGTATAGGATGGCATAAGAGAAAAAAAAACATAACTACAATGGCTAAAGCTATAATAATAAACAAAGCAAGCAGTCAACAGAAGTACAACAGAACTGTGTGTCCTTCCTGATAGTGATCTGCAACTCTCACCAACATCAGCATAGTCACTGGGATGATGAAAGTTGAGTCCAAGCAGGTCCTGGAAATTTAAAAATCGCCTAATCTCAGAATACATCCAGTAAACCATGTTGCATGAACACACTCTGCTGGAGTAGGTGATGTTATTAACTTTGAGCAGAACAGATTTACAGAATGCCTCCGAATGGCTGAGACCAGAAAGATGCCTTACTTTTTAAAATGTGAGCATTGAAGGCAAACTCTTTGACTCAAAATAATCATTTTTTTAGCACTTGCAATTGTTCTTCACTGTTTTTCCAACCAGACTGAAACTGGCTTGGTAGCCTAGAGCTGGAAATTTCAACATGCTGGTGAATTTTAACTTCAACAGACTAATGTGTGTTGTTACACTCAGTAAACCTTCCAGTCCAATCTATTTAGAGAGACATTTTATTGGGCTGTCCATACATTCATGTTTGAACTGCAAAATGAAAAGGTTTGATGTAGTGCTATAAATGGTTTAGCCAGAATCCATGTTTCAATCAGAAACACAAATAACATTGTTATTGCCATCAGTAGCAGACTTCTTCTAAGCTGGAGTCTACAATTTAATGAGACCATTTATTATTTGGTTGCAACCGTTCTCTTGCTCCCTTCAAGTTTCGAATTGCTTTTGTCGGTTTGCCTTGGTTTTTGGTGCTTAGATGCAGCAGGTGGTGAGTGAAGTGTAGCCCAAAATGGAAGTTGAAACAGTTGAAGTGCAAATTGAAAAGGAGAGCAAGAGTCTGGAATCAAAGATGTGTATATGAGGGCTCCTTGCAGACATGAAGTGCAGCTATGACTGAGATTAGAAAATGGTTTTCTGAAGCTGCCCTTAATCATCACTGGAGTGATCCAGTCTACTTATGAAGTAATAGCTGTGCCTAGGGGATTTTGAAATGTTCGTTGGTGATTTGTGCCCTCCATCTACCATAAGTATCCACGCAGCAAGCCATTAGAAGAAATAGGAGGTCTGCAAACCAGTTCAGCTTCCTCTGCTTCATGCAAATATCCCTAAGTATGTCTTCCACATACAAGTGCTGAATCCTCAATACATAGGCCTATTGTTTACTTTATCAAAGTTAGACTCTGTATTGTCATTTTAAAAATTTCTTCTAAAAAGCAAGATAGGCTTCAGGTTCAAAACCATTTCTAAAATCAGCACGGCCTGTCCAAAATATTTTTTAAAATCTTGATGATTGGGAATTGGCTCTATGTCTCTTCTTTTCTTGTTAATGGATTTGATTGGGAATTGGCTCTGTATTTTCTGTTTTTTTGAATATACAGAATGGAATTGTAAGATTTGTATAGGATAGAGACAGATGTTTTCATATTTAGAGATCCAGTGAAATCAGTAGAACTCAGTTATGTATTGGGTAACTTGAGGCCCATTGAACTAAATTATTTTTTCCCAGGGTGGGTTAAAATGTAGCCAGCGGACTGAATGCAGCCCCCTCTGACTGTTTTGGTACCTCGGGGGTCAAGCAATTGCAAAGAAATAACTTTTAGGAGTTATGGAAGGAATTTCCATCGCTTTGGAAGCACCCTGAAGCTTCCTGGGGGCAAAAATACACCACCACCCCCCTAAAAAACCTTCTAGAGAGCATGGGATGCATTATTTTGAGGGGAGACAAGCAGACTAAATTAGGTCCCAGAATAACCTTTAAAAAGACAGGAAGTAACATCACTTCCTAATGTTAAAAAGTCCTCCCTCACACTCAAGGAACCACCAAAACATGGTGAAACAGTTTTCTTTTATTAGAGGGGAGTGCAAGGTGTGCCACAGCTTAGCTTTTCACCGTTGTCTGGCGTAGTCTTTATCAACTATGACAAAGTCTGGATGAAATCCTAGATTTTATGTGTGGAGTGCTCTTTCCAACGTAGTGCAATTGATCTTTTGTCCTTCAAAAGTTTGGTTCTGTCTGATGAGCGCAGAGGGTTTATGCCATGATTTCTTGGTCCATAAATGACCTTTGTGGATTTAAAAAATCCCAGAGCATCATGGGTGTCTGCAAAGTGTTGGATTTCTTCAGCCTTGTTTGTCTACCAGATGTTCCTGAGTTCTCTGGTCCATCTTTGGACGTCAGCTTTTGCAGTAGCATAGATATTTTTCTTAGCAGCGCAATTGGTGTGTCTCTGTCATGTTTGGAAGGCTTACTTTTTCTTATCAGTTAATTGTTCAATCTCTTTGTCATTTTCGTCGAACCAATCTTGATGTTTCTTAGTTAGATATCCAATGGTTTCTTCACAGGCTGTGATGATGGAGGTCTTCAATTTGTTCCAATGTTTCTCAACATTTCCAGGGTGTTCTATGGGTAGATGATCCTTGAGTGTTGCTTGGAGAAGGGCTCATTTGGAGGACTTCTGAAGGGCTTGGGTGTTCATTGTGCGCCTTATCTTTCTTCCTTGGAGTCTGCGTTTGGGTGTGATCTTGATAGCCATTGTGGATCGGATTAACCTGTGGTCTGTCCCGTGGTCATCAGCACCTGTGTATGTATATAGGCATGCAACATAGTGCCCCTTAAATATGAGAGTGACAATGTTATGCTAACTGACCTTGGTTTTATAAGAACGGCTGGATTAATAAGTTGATGGATCTTTATAGTACACATGTGTGCAAAATTATACTTTAATGTGCTAGATAAAAGAGTGATAAATAGAAAGTGTATTGTCGATTTATATGACAATATAATCTCATGTCAAATTATGTAAGAATATAAAGCATTATATAAACGCTAGCTGTTATAATAAATGTGGAAACTCCCATTCCATATTATTCAAAATATTAGCTCTACATCTTTATAGTTGTTTTGAAATTTTGATTGTGAAACATAAAACAACTTTATTTTTCCTTCCTTACAAATATGTTTAGGACCTATGCCATCAGAAGAATAAAAGATGCTTTCAGAGAAAACAAAAACATCAGTGATTCAACAGAAATTGAAGCACTACTAAACAAAGCAAAAACTAATCTGGAAATCATACGCCGACAAGTAAGCATTGTTTTATTTCCAGTTTAATTAAATTGCAAACATGTGTTTTCTAGTTGCATTGTTTCAGTCTGTGGCATCCATTTTGCATCAAGAATGGGAAACCTGCAGTACTCCAGATGTTGCTAGACTAACTGGTAGCACCATCCATCTTGTAATCCCCAGCAGCTGAAATACAGAGGCATCAGAAGCAACTTAAAAGCAAACAGCAACAATGACTAGAACTCTGTAACCATCCTGACTTGTAAACACTACTTGTCCCACTCTCATGAACATATCAGTTCACCTTTTAAAGCCATCCATGTTGACAGCTAACATGGTATAGTAATCTGATCATTGGGTTATGCTCTGGAGATCAGGGTTTGATTCCCTGTGCAGATATGGAGACACATGGATGGCCTTGAGCCCTCCAAAACACTGTAATAGGGTGGCTGTAAAGTTGGAAACAACTTGAAGGCGCACAACAACAATAATAATGCTAGCAACTGTCCCTATATCATGTGGGGGTGAATTTTAGAGTTTCATTTTATCTGTCCTGAATGTCCCATTTTTTTACTATAAACTAGTGGTTAACCTTGGGTTATAGTATTGTGATAGAAAGAAACTTGTCCTTAACTACAGTCTCCATGCTATGTCTCTGCTAACTATCTCTTCTTTAAGGTCAGATAGCTCCAAACTTTGTGACTTTTCTTGTAGAAGAGTTGCTCCTGTCTCTTTGACATTTCCTACTTTTTCTTTAATTGTTTCTAATGAACACATTAAATGTTTAGGAGATTTCTGATGACAATTACATCTGGCATTGTCACTCTAATGTGGCTTTTCTGAAAGCTCTTATATATGAATTTAGTTGGATAGGGTGCTACTGAGATGCACTGGATGTGGAGCCTGTTTGTTGTCAACCAGTCTTGTAAGAGTTGGAATTACACAATCTGATCCAGTTACTTAAAAGTCTCATTGATTCCCATGGAATCTGTTCCTTAAATTGTGTGCAGAGACTAAAGCTTCAATTATTTCTATCCACTTCTATCTTATCTTTCAACAAAATGGGCAGATTCGAGGAGGAAGGCTGTTGGGTGGAGGAGAGGAAGGCAAAGTTTCATCATGAAGTCCGAAGTCCGTTAGTATAATTTTGTACACATTTTTGTATACATTCCAAAATAAACATTTTTTTTTACTTTTAGGAAGAGACTGAGTGACAAAATTTTTAGCCCAATATATGCCTATTTTATTCATGCACTTTATCAGAGCTCTATTTTTATTGCAAGAATCTCACACCATCCAAATGGAGTTTATATGATGAGTTTCATACCAGGAAAAATTGAATAAAGAGAGACACAAAAAGTGAACCTATTTCTGTTATTATAACTACATAATAGTCATTCCCAAGTGTTGATTCTTATGAAGCCAAAACAGCACCCATCTCTGCATAAGAAGTATCAGCCAGCTCAAAAAAAAAAACACCCAAGATTTTCCAAGCACAAAGGTATTTGGGGGAAAAGCTTAAGAGAAAGAGGGAACCACCCCCCCCCCCAAGACCCTACTTTGTTTGAGTTTGCTTGGTGGCCTCAGAATGCTGCCTTTTGGGGAGGGGAGATGGAGAACTGAGAAGAAAGAATGAAATGTGTAATCTGGAAAAAAATATGGCTACTACCTGGAATCCTGAACAGGAACATTTCACATTGTAACTATTATTGCTGATTGGCCTTGCTTTTATTATGATTTTTTAATTATTTTATTTATTTTATCCTGCTTTTCTCCCATGAGTAGGATTCAAAATGACCTGCTATGGTTAAAAAAACAGAGATTACATTAACATACAAAAGTCAGACAAAATAACATCATAAACCCAATAAACAAATTGTACACGACATAAACCAAATGTAACATATCAATAAATTATGACAGGTACCATTTCAAAATTTCCTGATAGACCTTTTGAAGCTGTATTGGCTTCTTCACCCTTCGGAGGTGTTTTGACAAACCTTTAAGTTTACTGTAGTTGAACTTATGGAAAAGATATGATGATGTTAGAGCCCTCTTCCCAAGGGTGGAGTATCCCAGTTGATCTTGGAGGGGGATGTCCTGTTTCTTTGGCCCTTGTGGTTATCTGGGCCATGGGATCATAGACTATGTTCACTTTAACACAGTGGTTCCCAGCCTTTTTTTGACCAGGGATCACTCTCCAACATTAGTACCAAAAGGGCTATGAATCAGTTTTTGGTCAACTTTAGATTCAGTTTGATTATTTGGGGTGCTGATTCAGAAAATTGCATTGGATAGACCACATCAGCTCTAGTTTTTGATACAGAATATATGCCATCCAGTAGTTGCCATCTACTCGCCCACAGAAAATCATATTTAATAATCTAGAGCTGATGTGGTAGTAGTAATCTTTTGTGGGTAGTCAGCCTCTCCCCTCCCAATGTTCCCGTTGCCTCAGCACTATAAGAGGGTTTTGCGAGACCAGTTGGTCTTGTTACCGCATGGTTTTGAGGCAACAGTGTAGTAATGGTGAGACCGTGGCCATATACTTGTTCTTGGGGATCTCTGGTGATCTACGGACCACAGGTTGGGAACCACTGCTTTAATAAGTGAAAAAAATATGAATATTTAATAAGGAGTCATAGTTTGTAGTTGGATATACAAAGGTTTTAGTTATGTAGCTAGTAATATTTGAGCTTCATATACTTCTTGGTTAAAATATAAATATTAAGAAATCAATAAGGAAATAATAGAAATCCTGTTTCTTCTATACAGTATTAGATATGTTGAAATAAGCTTCTTCATTCGTATTGTTCTATTTCTTCTACCTTTATACGTGTTTAGGATGAGTGAGTTTAGGAGTTTGCGGATTAAACATTTCCAGATTTAATCATTTGTGGATTGTTGTGTGCTGCCCTACCAGCAACTGTAAAATATGCCCTGAGAAATGTTCTCTTGGATAAAAAAATTAAGATTTGTGCTTTTTATGTATATCCATGATCTTTTCATTTTCATGGGGAATCCTGCACCTCTGACCCCCACAAATGTGAGGGGTCTGCTATATTCCTTTCCCCATTTAGGTGTGGTAATTACATTTGTAACTTTTAGTAACTGAATAATTTAAAACCATTGTCATAAACAGGGGCTTCTTGAAAGTGTGCTAAAGTGCATTATGTGCAGAGTTTTTAAAATCAAGCCACAGGGCAAATAGAATTTTAAATGTACTCTGCAGTTTAGGGGTTTATTAAGATATAGCACATCTCTTTCTGCTGACTTTTTATTTCCATGACATGTCAATAGAAATTAAATAATATGCTAGCTGCCTGGTAATTTGTTGCTACCTTGAAATCAAATTCTTATTCTCTTTACATGCTAATTTATAGTTTAGTCATCAAAGTGACCGTTAGTATTTCAAGTTCATAAATAACTACTTGAATCAGGCTTGAGGAAATTGTAGAAATGTGGCAAATTACTGCCACTTTGTTCATGTCATCCATGCGAATTGGCTGGATTTTATAAACAGAACTATCTTGAGCTCAGGAGCACGAGACCTTTATTTCTGACAGTGTCCTTTTTCTGCTTTCCAGATTATTGCATTTGTTGCAAACATGGTTTTAAAAAACAAAACTTCTATATCAACAAAAAGTAGTCATATTCCATATCTTTGTTGAGGTAGCAACAAAGTGGATAAGTAGAAGGTTTTGTTTTGTACCACAACTCATCATTTTGTAGTCTGGTGCTTTGAAAAAGTAATACAGTAGAGTCTCACTTATCCAACCTTCGCTCATCCAACGTTCTGTACTATCCAACACAGTCTGCCTTCTGCCCAGATCCACAGCTGTTTCAATACATTGCAATGTTTTGGTGCTAAATTCATAAATACAGTAATTACTACATAACGTTACCGTGTATTAAACTGCTTTTTCTGTCCATTTGTTGTAAAACATGATGTTTGATGCTTAATTTGTAAAATCATAATATAATTTGATGTTTAATAGGCTTTTCCTTAATCCGTCCTTATTATTCAACATGGGCCAGAGGTTTAGCACAGTTGGTAAATCATCGGTAACTATAAGATCTGTCAACCGAAAGGTTGCAAGTTCGAAGCCCCGGGTCAGCATGAGCTGCCAACAGTCAGCCCTGCTCATTGTTTACCTAAGCAGTCAAAAACAGCTTTAGCTGTAATTAGAGAAATTAGGTACCACTAAAAGCAGGGGGGGGGGGCGGGTTACGACACCATAAAGAAAGAAGATCAAAAAATGCTGGGCGACCAAAAGGAAGGAGGAAGTCCTGATGACTCTTTGTCATAGAGAATGGAGCAACGGCATCCCCTGTGGCTGGACTCACCTTCCTTGGCACCAAAAACAGCTGGACACTGAGTTGAGACAACACACCTCCTTTCTGTTCTTTCTGTCAGTGTATTGTCTATACAAAGCGGCACTGAATGTTTGCCGTGTATGTGTGCTGTGATCTGCCCTGATTCCCATTCGGGGTGAGAAGGACGGAATATAAATAAAGTGTTGTTGTTGTTATTATCATTATTATTATTATTATTATTATTATTATTATTATTGCTTATCCAACGTTCTTCCGGCCTGTTTATGTTGGGTAAGCGAGACTCTACTGTAAATGTAATTATTATAGTTACTTTTAAGGTATAGGAAAGCAAATAGTTGTTTTTTATGTTGCACCTACTTAAGGACTCTTGCAACTTAACAAACCAATTAATTTTTGGAGTCACTTTCCAATCTCTGATTCTGGAAGACAGACCAACTATCCTGCACTTCAAGTAGAAGATGTTTTTGGAGATCTTTGCATTGTCTGGGTTCACACAATCATGACACTTGTAGAGTTTAAAATATGGCTCCTGTATTTTGTAGCTTCCCCCCAAGATATTAACTGTTGTCTGCCATCAAGTTGACTTGGACTTGGCAACCATGAAGGAGAGACCTCAGAGTCAACAGACTTACTCAGGTCTTGCATACTCAGATCTGTGGCTTCATTAATTGAATCTATCCTTC